GGCTGGGGCAGACAGTGCAGAGACCATGTCCGCCGCTGTCCCTGCAGGCTCTGGGCAGTGCGGTCCTCGGTACACCAAAGCACAGGACACCGCGGCCCGGGCCCTCGGTCTGCAGGGCCCAGGGAGGGAAGGGGCTGCCTAGGCTCCCAGGGCCACTGGGGTGGGGCTGGGCAAGCCGGGCGTCAGACTGCCGGTTCTCGCCGTGTCCAGCGCGGCCCTCACCCCTGTCTGTCCCACAGGCCACCTACGTGCTGCTGGCACTGGCCTGGGTGTTCGTGCCCATCTACATGTCCTCGGAGGTGAGTCTGCCCTCGGGGCCTCCAGCGGGGCTGGGCCGGGCCAGGTGGTGGCGGCGAGCAGAGCCCTGTGGCCTCATGCTGCAGGCTGGCAATTCTCAGGCCGGCTTGCCGTGCGTCCAGTGGGTGTTTCAGTCACCCCACCAGGGCTGAGTCCCCTTGGACCTCGGCCTGGGCTGGCCGCCGGGTTCCCACGCCCTGTATGCTGCGTGTTGGGGTGACGCTCTGTCAATGCAGACACACGGGCTGCACCGCCCTCAACTCGGGCCACTTCGCATCCCTGGCTATGCTCATGGTCCAGCCCGTGCCACTGCCCTGGCGCTGCCGTCTGTCCCTGTCTGCCCCCACAGCCTCCTCACCTGTCCAGCCTCACCCGGACTTGTCCTAACAGCCTCCACATTTGTCCTTGACTGTGGCCCCTCCGATCCCTTGTCTCTGTCTCAAGGGGTCTCAAACCTTCAGATCCGGCGGCGCTGCGGCTCTGCCAGCCTGCGGCCTGCTTGCTCCGGGGGAGGGCAGAGCAGGGGGGCGCCCCTGCCCTGAGCACCGGGCGCCGTCTCGGGCAGTGCTTAGCCCTGGCTTGTGTCCCCAGATCGTCACGTTGCCTGAGTACATCGAGCGGCGGTACGGGGGCCAGCGGATACGCGTCTACCTGTCCGTCCTGTCCTTGCTGCTGTCCGTCTTCACCAAGATATCGGTGAGCCAGCGGCTGGGAACCCCGACCCGGGGTCCCTCAGACGGGCCTGACTTCTCACTTGGCTCTGCCTTGTTTAACGGCGGGGAAACAGGCCCAGAGGGACAATGACTCGCCCTGGGTCACACAGCAAGGCCAGGGCAGTTGTCCAGGGCCCCTGGTGCAGGCACAGCCACGGCCATTGGCCTGGAGCAGGCAGGGAGGGGACGGGGACAGCGTGGTTGCCGCTGTGCCTCAATCCCAGCATGGGTGAGGGGCTCCAGGGGTGGGGGGTGCAAGCAGCCAGGCCCGTGGTACCCCGGGACCCACCGGTGTCGGCCTGTCCCTCCGGCCTGCCCCGTTGGGAGGCGAGGGGCAGGGCACATCCCGAGGGCCAGGCAGTCCTGCCCGAGCCCCTCTCAGGCAGGGAGGCCGAGGCCTGGGCGGGAAGGAGCTGGCCCGCCCCCCCCATAACCCAGCCTTCCCGTTCTCGGATCTCACCGCCAGGATCTCACCGAGGCCTCCTGAGCCCACTGCCTCGCTGGGCAGAGGCCTTCCCGGTCAGCAGGGCTCCCTTGTCTTGGTCTGCCCACTGTCGGGAGGGGTGACAATAGTGTCTCCGGCTGGAGTGAAGGGCTCCGAGGGGACCGGGAGCGGCATCGGTCACGGGGAGGGGCTGGAAGCCTCACTGGTCCTTGGGGCCGTGGGACTCCCTGGGAGTGGCGTCCTCTGAAGCCCCCCCACCCCGAGTCCTTGCTGGGGCCTGATGGGTCCCACCTGACATTCGACCTGTGTCCTCTCGGGCCCCGCAGCCTTGGCCAGTGTCTCCCTGCACCGTGTGCGGCTCCCGGGGTCCGCGTGGTTTTGGGAGCTGTTGGTGCTGGCCTCGCTCTGCCGTCAGGGTCTCATAGGCAGCTGTCTTCCCCTGGGGCCCCCTGGAGCCCAGGCACCTGGCCTTGGGCTGCCCTTGAGGCCAGGTTCAGAATTTCCTTCTCCCTCTCCCACCAGACCCCCATACCGGCTGCCTCCCTGGAAGCCGGGGATAGAGAAGTAAACCCGGCCTGACCTGACAGGTGCTGGCACTGCAGCGGGACAGTGGGAGGTCGAGGGAAGGACTGCAGAGGGGAGGGAGCCACAGGAGGAGGGTCCTGATGGAGGAAAGGAGGCGGGTGGGGCGGGGACGAATGCCAAGGAGAGGCCAGGAGGCCGAGACTCACGCAGTCACTGAGGTGCCTCCAGAGACTGGGCAGGAGACGGTGCGAGAAGGGAGTGAGGAGCGAGGCAGTAGGGCACAGTGGGGACTGAGGCGAACCGTAGGGCGTGCTCCAGCACTCACCCAAACAGGCCAAATGCGGTGTCTGGCCCTCAGGCTGCGTTTCCAGTCCCTGCCTGCAGAGGTGAGGTGGGGAGCTCTGACGTTTAAGAGGCAAGTGTCCCAGGGGCACTGAGGGGAGCTCAGCAGGCTGAGGCACAGTCGGGCTTGGGTTTGGGTTTGTGTGAGCTGCTCCAGAACCTTCTGGAGGATGGCCTGGAGGGAGGAGCCGGGAGGGGAGGCCTGTGGAGGCTGGTGGGGTCTGGTGAGGGAGAGGGGCGCAGGGTTCTCCCCCCAGTTCCAGACCCATGATGTCTTCGCTGTAGCCTCACACTCGGAGCAGGGGGAGGGGTGGTTCTCACAGACGGCAGGAGAGCTCAGTGGGGCAAGGGGCCCTGAGACCCTCTGGTTCAGCGGGGATGGCACCACTGGGATGGAGACGGTGGCCCTGGCCCGCCCAAGGTCACGGCGAATGGGCAGAGATTACCGTTGGAGCTGGTCTCTGCCTCCCTGGAGCAGCTCGGAGGGGACCCCGCTGTGTGCTGGGGTGACTCAGTCTGCCCGGCTATAAAACAGGGACAGCCGTGGACACCAAGGCTGGGCCTCAGAGCCGGCTGGGGCTGACGGGGAGGCAGAGGATGAAGCTCGGAACGCTCATCGTGGGGCTGGCCTGGGAGGGAGGCCGCCGACTGGGTTGTGGGTGAAGCCGTTTGAAGTGCGTGCACCCGCAGCCCCCAGGCCTGAGCGCACTGGGCTGAGCCCCAGGAACGCCTCCTGCGTCTGCACACCCTGACCCAGCTCGGGCCGGCGGCCTGTCAGGACAGAGATGACAGGGCGGGGACACTGACCTACAGAGAGGACCATCAGCCCGCCTCGGGGAGCAGCATCGTGTGGGGACCTGGCCAGTGTTTAACCTCTGGAAAACAGGGAAGCCCTGAGAAAAGCCCAACTGTGGCCTGCGAGGCCCCCATGGTGTGGCCCCGGCTCTCCCCATCTCCCTCACCTCCCCTCCCCACCCTCCCCGTCTCGTGCACCACTCCAGCCACCCCGGCGTCCTTGCATGGCTGTGGACACATCAGGCCCCGGGCCTTGGGCCTGTGCACTTGCTGTGGCCTCTCCCCGAACCTTCTCCCTGGGGTCCATGCGGCCTCTTCACTCCTACATGTCCCAAACCCTCCTCCCTTACCCCTGCCCGGGGGTCCGCCTCCACCCGATCCCCAGCTCTCACACACTTGCGGCTTTGGTGTGCTGAAAGGCGACTCGGAAGCCCATGACCTGGCTGCCCCGTCTCTTCACGGCGCGTGCCCAGGCCGCCGGGTGCCAGGCATGAGAGGGAGCCGGACCCCACATGGGCAACAGCAGTTTCAAAGCCCAGCCCCGGCCCCTGAACAACACACTGGGTGTGTGTGTGCCTCAAAATCCTGACGGGGGGAAACATGGAGAAGGAACTGCGGTGTGACCTCACCCCGTGGGGACTGCTTTCGCTTGCTCTCCGTCTCTGGAGTGTGCAATTTAAAAAAAAAAAAAAAAATAGGATGAAGAACTTCCAAATATTTGTGGGAAAATGGATTAAATCCAGGCTGGCTTCGTGGCCTGCTGGTTAAGGCAGTCTCTCTCACTTGGCCCAGGGTGCGGTTTGAGTCCTAGGCCTGGTGGCTTGCGGAAGGCGGCCAGAGTCTGTACCCGCATGTCCAGAATTCCGGGAGGGAGAGATGCAGAAGGGACCGTGGCGTGACCGTCCCCCGCGAGGGGCGCTTTCTCCCCTCCCCCGCTCTCTGTCAGGTGGCAAGATCATTTGCCCACTGGCCAAAAAAAAATCCCTCAGAATGTTTTTTGGAACTCTGCATGCAGCTCTTCCACACTGCGTGCTCCTGTGAACTTCTCGAAGGCCCACGCGCAGACCGGGGTGGGCTGTGTTCCCTGTGGAGAGCCAGCTAGGACGCATTTCAGCCACGCAGGCCTGCGGTGTCTGTCCCAGCGCCCACTGTGCGCCCGAGGACAAAGGCATCCGTGACCGGGTCTGTCTGGGGTTCAGGTGCCACTCTCCGATCCAGGTGTACCTACTGTGTGCTAGGTCTGATGAGCACATCTCACAAACACTTTCCAGACAAGAAAAGTCAACAGACCAACAAAATCACCCCCTATGGGAAAGGGGTCGGAGCAGCAGACTCAGAGCAGGGGAGCTGGGCGGAGGGCCCTGGAGAGGGAGCTGCTGCCGGGGCAGGGGCAAATGGCAGGGCGGGGAGGGGACAGCCCGGGCTGGGGAAATGCAGTCAGCCTGCTGTCTTCTGAGTAAGCTGAGTGCAGAAGGGACAGCGAGGGGCCTGCAGAGGGCTTGGGCCCAAGGAGGGGTGGCAAGGCGGGGGGGAGGAGGGCTTTGGAGCCAGAACCTGGGCAGTGGCCTGTGGGCCGGATGAGGAGAAGTGGAAAGGTCAGAAGCTTCTGGTCTGACCCCTCGGGGGATGGAAATGGCGAAGTTGGGAGGCAGGGGACACGGGACAGTTTGGGGGAATCAGGTAGGAAGTCTGGTCCCTGTCAGTGCAAGCACCACCCGGCTTCTCTGTTCGCCAGGAGGGAAGGCAGGAAAGGCTCCGTGGAGGAGGTGGCCAGGCAGGGCAAGGCCTGGACTGAGATGGGGGCTGCAGAGCCCCAGGGCCAGCCCCCGCCTCCTCTGGCCTTGCGCACGCTCTGGAGCCGGGAGGGGCAGTGGGAATTGTTGGTGAACGTGGACATGTGGGGCACCCCAGTGGCGGCTCCACGATGGCGGGTGCAGGGCTGTCTGCTCCCATCTGCTCTAGCAGGGAGACCCCTCTCCACGAGCTTCCTCCCCCAGGAGCTCACAGGCGGAGGCTGAAGGGGCAAGGGGCCAGCCAGCCAGAGGGTGCGCCTGGGCTGCCTTGGTCGGACAAAGTTGTCACTCCTGCCTAAGTGTTCCCTGGGCGGAGGGCAGGTGCTGATCACAGGGGTCTTACAGGGCACAGAGCAGTCAAGGGACTGTGTTAGATGCCGGACCGAGTGGGCACGTGGGGACCGGTCATGGCAAAGGCCGTACATCCACAGGGCCTCCTGCGGGAGCCCGGGCTGCAGGCGGCGATGTCGGGGAAAACATGGAGAGGTCCTGCTTGGGGGGAAGGTGAGGGTGGCAGGAGGGTGGGACAGTGACTGTGGCCAGGACATGCTGGGGAGCGGAGTACACCAGCAGCCCAGACCAAGAGGGCCCTTCCTCGGGGGTTCCAGCTGCACGGAGCCCTCCTTGGGGTTCTGTTCCCACAATTTGCCTCCCCCTCTTGACCTTGGTGTCTGCCTACAAGGGATGAGATTAGACTTGCAGCTGCAGGGACAGTGGGGGTGGGGGCAGGGCCTCCCTGCAGAGGCCACTGGGCTGGCTGGACAGCTGAACCAGGAGTAGAAGGGTCTGGGGTGGCCGAGTCTTGAAAGGTGAGAGGCAGAGATGACAGTCCAGGATGGGGGAGCCGAGAGCTCGGGGACAGTACATGCTGGCTGTCCGAGCCTGAGGCCAGGCACACAGCGCAGGGCTCCGTCCTGCTCAGGGCAGCGGGTGTGGAGAGAGCGCTGAGTAGCAGGGCCAGGAGGAGAGGGGGTGGTGCACAGCTCTGCTCCGAGCTCCCTGCTGCCTTCCTCTGCCTGGCGGCTCCATTCTGACATCTACCAGGGCCTGACTCTGGGAAGCCCCTTCCTCTCCCTGGGCCTGTTTCTCCTCCAGTCTGACGGGGCAGGGCTCTCATGGCCCCTCTGGACTTCTCCCCTAGGCCAAAGACACCCCCCCCCAGCTCTCCCTAAACCACCCCATCCCTCCAAGACACACAGAGTCCAAAATAGGGCCACGGCGAGGGTCAGTGTTCCATTTCCATGAGGGCTCTCTGCTCCAGGAGGGAGGTCCAGGGAACACGGGCTGGGTGTCAGATCCCGTCCGGCTGGGTTGCCCTGGCTCCAGGCAGAGCTGATGCGCTGTCTGGGCCGGGCCTCCTCCCAAAGCCAGCAGTACAGCTGACTCCAGGCGGCCAGACATCCTGGCCAGGTTCTCTCTCCTGCCGAGCCAACACAGGGTAGTGGGTTTGGAGACACAGGGGTGGGAGGCCAGTCATCCAGCCCCCGGCCTGCCCTCCCTCTGGCCCTGTGTGGGTGGGGGCGGGACTGGGGTCTGCACGCCCACCTGGGGCTGAGCCTGCCTCCCCAGGATGCAGCCCCAGGTGCTGGGCCAGCAGAGGCAGCGACATCCAGTGGAGTCAGGCCTCTGCCACGGGCTGCAGCTCTGGGCAGCTTCGGGGGAGGGCAGTCTGCAGGGTGGGCCTCCCCCCA